AATCCAATAGTAATTTCACACAGTAATTATAAGTTTTATTGTGGTTGAAAACTAAAATCCATAAACTGTCATACAGGTTGACGTTCATTTTTCATCAACTTTTGTCACTTCATACAGTGATCGTCTACATTCATTTCAGGAATCCAACTGATAATTCAAGGAGCAAAGGGTTAAAGAGTTATCTTACCTTTAACTTAGAAGTAGTGGAGAATCCTTTTGGCATCGTATCTTCATCAGCATTTCCTCAGTGCAACCTTCTTCACTAGTGTTGACGTTGAAATCCAGGGTGGATTCAAACCCAGGTCCTACTGCTTGGAAAGTGAGAATCAACCCTAAATGGTTTCAAAGATGAATTTCCTTCACAACATTATTATATTTTATATTGAATTATTAAGTTTTCAATGTATTCCCAAAATCATAAAAAGTGCAACACTACAGTGCATGATCTTTATTTGATATTCAGTGAAGTGCTGTTCCAGTGGCAGAAAATAGCTGAACAGTAAATACATAAGGCTCTGTTTCACAAACAACAAACTACAGTTTGTCTTGATTGTAGCTACATGTCTGCACATTAACAGAAACCCCTACGGACTAACGGTGACGACATGGACGATAAAATGATCAACCTGTTCAATGGAGCCTTCCTTTAAATCCCGTTATTTAAAACCCATCCACCTGAATAGCCGCCGACTGTGCAAATGTGTTGGTTGAAAACCCAAACTAATTCTGAACCTCAAGCTGTGAACCATCAACCCCTGAGTTTTTTTTTCTTCTTTCCAACATGCTAATCAGGAAGTGACATGCTAAAGAGCAGGGTGAGCTAGAAAAAAAGTCATTATCATTCAAAACTAAAATAAACTAAATGAACAAATATCTCATCTAACTGTAAACTGTTTTTTATTTTAACCTCTTTTTAAATGTTTGTATTTAACTGTACGTATTGTGACGTGTGTAAAATCAACATGAACATCAAACTACTTTTTTTTACTTTTTTTTAAAGAATTTATGTAAACCTTTGTTTACTAGATTATCTTTCCACAGCTTTTTATGACTGCTGTCATTTTAGACTTTGCACTGAACTAGGCCACACCTTCGTGTGGTAGAAGTTCTTCCTTCAAGCATCAGATACAAAGTGTTGTTTTTTTTGTTTTTTTTCCCCCTCTATGCAAGTTCTGTTGTTTAGACCCGTCCATCACAGCAGGCAGGGTTTAGTTGAAGAACTGAGGATCACGTCAGGCAGAACAGCCTTACATCTTCAGCTTTGTCGCCATCTAGAGGCTAACGTGAATCTGACCTGAACCAATCCAAAGTCTCCTCTACCTGCAGATATTTTTTCCCCCGTTGTGAGACACAGCTTCATGTGGGTCAGTGAAACAGTACTATCTTTGGCTTTGCAAAAGTTTTAGGATCCAGTGACAGCAGTGACTGAGCCAGTGTTGAAAAGGTCAGTGTACAGTGTCGGTTAAACCTTTACTCCCAGAAAACCTGAGCTCCAGCTTTGGAGTGACGCTTGGCCTCCATGATGGTAAAGGCTTCCTGCTCCTCGCTCATCTCCTTCAGCCTCTTCTCATCCAGAAAAGACACCAGAGAGTCTCTCATGTCCACCACCTCCAGCATCTGCTGAAGGATGTTTTCTTCCTCCACCTGTTGCTCTGGTGTCTTGTCTACCAGATGGAAACAAGAAACAAATGCACACGCTTAGACAGCTACTGAACATGTGATCAATGATGAGAATATTCTGCCTGGTGTGTGCATTGACAAACCACTGCACCACAGTGTTACGTCAGAATCGATTATCTCTGTTGTTATACTACAAGTGGAACACAATTACCTGAATTGACTTTCACACAATTTCCTAATTGCTTTGACACAGAACAATTGGACAATAATTCGCAAAATTCATGTTTCCCATACAGCGTGTTTCTGCTGCCCTCAAGTGGTCAAAACCTGGTACTTCCCGCTTCAAGAAGTATTTCATTTATTAAGATTAAATTAATAATAAAATGAAACACTGATATAATTTAGAAGAGGGCATTTTGAGAATAGAAAATAATGTATTTATCAAGTACAAAGTCTGAATTTGATGTTTTTCTGAACTAGAAAACACTGAAAAACTATATTTGTAGATTGTGGACTTGTTTGTTTAAGGTGTGAAAGTGTCAGTAAACATACAGTTTGGGAACTGAAACTATGTTGGGCCTTTATTGTGAAAAAGGGGTAATAAGTGACAGTCAGCAGCTCATGTTGCCACAGTTCAGTACCACAGGATATGGCATGACTTTTTTGAATGTATAAAATTGTATTATTATCCAGCTTTAAATCCTGACATTCATTTAAAAAAATGTTCTGTCCAACTGCTGTTGGACTTCCTGGTACTAAAGCAGAGAATTACGAAGATGATGCAGACATCGGCCACATCGTGAATTTTTTATAGAATGGCACAGCAAAGTACTCACCATTCAGCCCCATGAACTTCCTGAGCTCCAGCTCCAGTGTGCCCTGCTTGTCCTCCAGCTCCAGCTGTTTAGACCTGAACATAAACAAGAGTTTAATGACACTAATAAACCCTTCTATATACTGAATTGTTCTCCGTCTTCCTCTAATGCAGTGGAGTGTGGAGGTATTGCAGAGGTGACAAATAAATGTCATTTTTAATATTTCTAAGAGTGGGTAAACTGCACAGTTATGTAGTTTTCCCCCCAGTGTTTAATGAGAACAGTTTTTGAAACAATGTTTTAAATAAAGTCTAATGGAAGCAATAACCTGAGGCAGTTTGACAATAGTCCTATGGACAAAAGGGGGCGCTGCAGAAAAAGTCTGAGGGGCACTGCCTTGATAAGAGGAAGTCTTTTTTCTTTGTTTTATAAAATACTGCCACCTTGTGGCTTTAAACCTTAATGTCCCTTCTCTATATATTAATAGTAATCATAATGTCGTAGCCCGTCACCATGGCATCCTTTTTTGATGTAGGTCATCATAAGAATGTGTGAGTGAGGGAGGACGGAACAAAGAGCTCAGTGTCTGAGGAGGAAGTCTGACGTTCTGGACTCACTGCTACTGTGTGGAAAAGCTGTGTGTTGGATTTGGTTTGAATTCACAAGTGAACACTCACGCCACCATGAGGTCCGACTCCTCGGAAACCAATGCGTTCTTCTCGTGGACCAGCTGGATCCACTGCTCTATCGTGTCCGGAGAATCGCTGCCTGCGAGCGACAAACAGGAAGAGACGATAAATAGAAACGAATGGAACAAAGTATGAGAAACTGCATGACGTGAGAGAGAACCTCGGAGGCTTACAGTCCAAATGAACAAAGTGAATTCAGACTGAATTTACATTAAACCTCAATACAGTTGGAATTATACAATTCCAAAACTCCATTTACCTCCAGACTACGACAGGACAGAGGTTCAGAGCCTACTTTAATCAATGTAAATTAACTTGTAATGTCTGCACTTTGACTTCTTACCAGCTTCTCCTCTGAGAGTCCGCTCCAACACCACACCTTTGTCCTCCAACTCTTTAAAGTTCACCTCGATCTCCTCCAGTCTCCGCTGTATGGACTTCAGAGCACAAAAAAAAAAAGAAAAAAGAAGAAAAGAGTCATTGATGTTCACATTAGTTTGTGGTTCTTTGTGGCATGATGGTGAAATTTAAAGACTGATTTCATGTCTTAGGATCCAGCATCTCAACCTGCGGTCACTGTAGTCTGATCTAAGGTTTAAACATATCAATGATTAAAGTCAGCTCCTGTTTCCACCTGATTTAAAACCTGAAGCTAGGTGTTGTTTTTGATGTTTTTCCCTCTCTGTAATTAAAGCATTTTGATGAGCAGTCAGAAATGAATCAGTAACTCTCTGACAGGGACACCGACCTGGGCTTTGCGGAACCGCTGCACCTCACTCATCCTGGCTCTTCGTTCCAGCGTTTTCATCTTCATCAACTCCAACTTTTCAGCCTCCACAGGGTCTGACGGCAGCATCTGAAATGACAGCGTGTTGGGAAGAGTGTTTCTATATCTGGAGAAGCAGTGTCCATTATGCCAAATGTATCAAAGTCATTGCATCCGTACGTGGGCTTACCTTCTCATCAAAAAGGTCAATGTCGTCTCGTTCTACGATGTCGTCGTCGTCATCTCCATCAGCGCCCTCCTCTGAGGGGCTGTGGACGTATCGGAACGTCGTTTCTATGATTTGAATAAAACAAAAATGTCACACTAATCTCTCTCTCTACCGAGATGAAAACTCAACTACGTCTTCAACTCACCCACTCTCCCTGGCTGATTGACGAGGACACTGAGCCGGCCGTCTCTGCTGATCCTCGGGGACGAAAGATTCCACGGGGAAAACTTGGATCGAACCCTGGTCTGCCCACTGGGCATCTCTTTCCTCCTGAAACAGCGCCGGTTCCTCTTCTCCCGGACGTGGCCGGAGGTGCTGCCGCTCCAGTAGCCCTCCTCTTCTTGACCGTCCGTGCCCTCTGGTTTAGGAGGGCTCGGACCTCCTGCTGTAGCCGAGGACGAGGAGCAGGACGAAGATCCTCCGTGTGTCTCAGAGTCCGAGTCGGCGCTGAGACTCTGGAGATTGACCAGTTGGCTTTTCTCCTCATCCGTGAGCTGGAGTTTCCGCAGTGACTGCTTAGGACGGGGGTCTGTTGTTGTCTTGGTGGTCTCTTTCGTAGGGGTTGAAGGCTTTTCAGGAGCGGAGGGGGTGAGAAGGTGGACGGTACGAGGTTTAGCTACTGGGGAGGGCTGGGGATCTAAATTCCGAGAGTGGCGAGGTTTGGGAACAGGAGGATGAAGATCCGCTGTTTCCTCAGCTGGAGTCTTTGCCTTGACTTGAGACGGAGATTTTGTGGGAGTGCGTGGTTTAAGGACGTCACCCTTGGGTTCTAGAATGTGCTGGTCCTGTCCATCATGGCTTTGTGGTTGTGAAGGTGCAGGAGGAGGAGCACAGTCCAAAACATATTCAAAGTCACCGTTATCGTCGCTGGAGAGTCCATTCTCCTCATTTGTCCATTTTTCCTGAAGGGCGCCACCTTTGGGTTTTGGTATGTATTTGTCCTCTCCATCATGGCTTTGTGGGTGTGAAGGTGGAGGAGGAACACAGTCCAAAATGTATTCAAAGTCATCGGAATCATCACTGGAGAGTCCATTCTCACCCGTCCCCTTTTTCTGAATGGAAAAAATAAGAACAGATACTTTTAGAGGATTTCTCTTTACGTTTGTTAAGATCTCGTCGTCATCACTGATCTATTGTACGTTTTAATCCAGTTTTCCTGACATAATGTCGTCATCACTGATAATCTATTGCACGTTTTAATCCAG